GAATACCATCGGGGCTACCGAGGTTGGGGCCCAGGATCAGTTGTTTTCGGGCTGCTGGGATTTTTTGCATGATCTTACAATATAACCGCCGTATCAGGACGGATCTGCAACTGATCCGAACTGATCCGCGGACAAAAAATGGCGTCGCGGATCAGTTGGGCCTCAGTTGCAAGGCTTCGGAATCCCACCCGGACTAGCGAGGTTGAGGCCGCGGATCAGTTGTTTTTGGGCTGCTGGGATTTTTTGCATGGTCTTGCAAGAAAACTGTCGTATCAGGACGGAAATGCAACTGATCCGAAGTGATCCGTGGGCAAAAAGTTGTGCCGCGGATTAGTTGACTCGCAGGTGATTTATCTTCCTGCCAAAAGCCTGCTTCATCAATGGAAGTTCTGCACGACAAACAGCGAAGGTTTTCAGATCAAGCTCTGCATGACAAACAGCGAAGGTCGTGCGTGTTTTGCATGACAAAGACAAAAGCCCGCTTCAATGGGGATTCTGCATGACAAACAGCGAAGTGTTTCAAATCCACACTTGAAGAAGAAGAGTACTACGAGGAGGAGGACTACGACCAGGAGGAATATGTGCGGAGAATCTACTAGTTCTCTAGCCAAATTTGTCATGCGTTTTCACAATTCCACGATGGATTTGTCATGCGGATTCTTACTAAAAGGAAATTTTTGATTTTTCCCAAATGCAGCGGTCCATCGTGTGGTACCAGCATGACAAGTTTGGCTTGACCTTAGAGGAATTTTTCCTGTGGATACTGCAGAAGGCCTGGTTTCGTCAGACTACCCGCGATATCAAACGCAAAAATGTCTGGGTCTGGAAGAATGCAAGATTTGTCATGCATATTTCTCATGACCCATGATAGTCTGTGATGTATGCCCTAGCATTACAGATTTTTAGAAATCTTCCTGATGTACCTTCCGCATGAGAAATGCCCTGTCCGTGTAGCAAAAACTGTACCCCTCTTGCTGGTCATGCAATACAAGTTTTTTAGGCTCCGAAAACAGCATGACAAGTTGCAATCTTCCAGACCCAGACACTTTTACAATCCATACGCGATCTGGGGTGTAAGGTGGAGGTTCGGTCAAGAGGTTGTCATGCCGATCTGACCATGACAAGTTCATGAGTTGCCTGGCAACTTCATGAAGTTTTGATTTAGGAGTGCAGACAGCTGCTGTTACGAACCTAGCAAGAAATCAGATTCGAATGATAATTTGAAATTAACAAGAAATTATAGAGCGCTTGATGGCATCATGCGTACAAAATTAAATTTGAAAATTGACAACGACTTCGCTACAACTTACTACAGTACGACTACAAGTATCCAAGAAGTTGAGTTTTGAACAACCAGAATCGAATGTACCAAACCAGAATTTACGATTTTTGTTTCTTGCAAGAAGTTTGTTTTCGATTATTCACAACCACCAGAATTTCAACAGTGTTTCGAACCTGTGCCGATTTTATCAGCCGTAACGTATGTATGTAAAACGTCGCAACATCTCCACGAGTTGGTCCTAGTAGCAGAATCATCATCTTCATGTAGCTACTACTGACGAGAAGCGAAAGGTTCTTGTTTGCCGAATATCGCTTCGCAAAGTTTGAGATTAGCACGTGACTTTTCATATGGCGAAAAGATCCAATCTGTACAAAATTATGAGAGTCCTCTAGCAGTAAGACAATTTGAAAATAACGACCTGTATAAATATCGAATCCATCCTGTTTCCGAGGAGGGGCAGATAGAAAATTAAACGACAACACGAACAGAACAATTCCACTGTGGAAGTGTACACCAAATTAGAGATTACCTTCGTCTCGCCGAAAAATTTGCCACTTCCGTACAACACTAGCCTGCTACAGTTTTCTCCCTGTGGTTCGACTTTTCCACCCTGCGGCGTGTTGTTCTCACAAAGTCTTTTCTCTTGTTCTACTGCTATGCTAGGGTGCTTCGTACAACATTCGTCCCGACGAGAACGGCAAAGGAGCAAAGCAGAAGCTGCAGAGGGAGCCAACGTCAAAACTTCTGAAGAGTTTCAGGCTGTATTTCGGTAGGCAGGGTAGTTTATGCTCGGGCCGTTACTACACTTCAAACAGAGAGACTGGAAAAGCGAGAGAGGGTTGGCATGAAAATTGCAACTCAATTGCAACTGTGACTCTACTTCTTGAAAATGAAATGGCTTAAATGCTTACTAGAGGATCAATCTTCCCGGAAAAATTTTCGCCACCTGTCCCTTCGTACTTTCTGAAAAGAACTACGTACAAGAATCATTTCGTTGTCCACCCGGAACAAGATCGCGTTCAACCAAGATGGCCCGCTCCAAGAAGGCCGGTTCTTTGGTTAACAAAACCAACGGAAAATTTCAGTTACAGCAACAGCTGCAGTCCGATTCCCAGGCGATTGTGAGCGATATGGAGATATCAAATGCAGAAACGTCTGGGTCTGGAAGAATTTGAACTTGTGATGCTAATTTTGGTCTCTAAAAAAAGCTGTATTGCATGACCAGCAAGAGGAGTCTAGTTTGTGCTACGCGGGGAGGGCGTTTGTCATGCGGAGTAGGCATCAGGAAAAATCTGTGACGCTAGGTCGTGCATTACAGACATCCTGGGTCATGCAAAACATGCATGACAAGTCTCAGAATGTTCCAGACCCAGACATTTTTGCATTTGATAGGAGAAACTGGCGAGCATGACTCCGGTTCATCTACCAGAACAATTCCCGGGTGGAAGCAGTAGTTGTACCATGATGCCAGATATCAAATGTAAAAGTGTCTGGGTCTGGAAGAATTCGTGTTTGTCATGCTTGCCTGGCATGACTGTTAAATCTGTCATGCACGTTACCCAAGGGCTCCGTTTTTCTGTGATGCAGAAGCGCAGTTTGTCATGCGAAATAGGCAACACCGAGGAGCTCAGAAACTTGTCATGCTGAGCCAGCATTTGGAGCCTCATCATGAGACGCCACCCAGCATCACAAGTTTCCAGACCCAGACATTTTTGCAGTTGATACCAGAACAACGGTACCTGACCCGCACCGAGTTTTTGGCCCAGTATCCGAAGCAGCAGTTGGTCGACCAGATGTCGGATTTGAAACCGGTGGCGATCCGGCGGTTGGCGCGGCGGGGCGGCATCAACCGTCTGTCTCGGAAGGTCATCCCAGAGATCCGCGATCTGTTCCAGCTGTGGTTGCAGGATATTACCAAGTACATGGTCGCCTTCGCCGAGCACGCGGGAAAGTCGACGATCTCGCTGAAGCACGTCGTGCATGCGATCAAGCGGAGTGACAACAAAACCATGCTCGGGTTCCGCGGACGGCAGAAATAGTGTACTCCACGCGTAGCCTCGTGGAGCCGTCGTGCTATCATGCACGACCGACGGCCTTTGCGAAATTTTGTACCTGCTGTTCCTCAAACATGACATCAGCTACAAGAGCAATCCCTTTATTGCCTTTGCTTCAATGAAGTTGTAGGTAGGAAAACCGAGTCTTTTCTCCGTGTAGAAGTCACGTCATCCTCAATAGCAATTCTGCAAATAGAATTTTGTGCAAATATCAAGTAATCAGCCAGAAGGAACGTAGGGCAAGTCAGTCTTCAACAAGTCTACAACCAGGGAGGTTCGTAGGTAAGAAACTACACTTTAAGAATTATTCATCATACGTTCGCAACACATTTTCGTTTATCGAACATTGTGCAACCTGGCACTCCGAGCCAGCCGCACAATCAAATTTTGCCTCGACCATCTTTTCTAGTTGCGCGGCATATAATGCGCTGCATTGCCGTTGGCGTTGGAAGTACTAGACGAGAATTCTGTGTCAACATTATCCAAGATGAGCGGGACGAAGCTTTTTTCTTGTGTTGGGAAAGTAAGTAGGTGACAATAGATACTTTTTATTGCTAATGTCAGATGATGAAAATGTATTGGTACTGCATGTAATCGTGCTGAATTTCAAGCAGCTCGAAGAACAAGCTCCACACGTCACATGATCTCCGTACCAGCACCATCCACCATAGATATTGTGAAGAGGACAAACAGACTGAACATATTAAAAGCGAAAAAGGTAATGCAGCAGCTACCGACACGGACACGTTGCAAGAACCGGCAAAGATAGTTCCTTCCCGTGAGAAATGTAACTACGACCACCCTCACGAACAATTTACAACATCTGTCGTGCTATCGCTTTCATTGTCGTAGAGATGATTATCGCCATATCATAATGATCGTTACATGACCAGCTGCTTTTCGTTTGTCGTGATTGTGGAGAGCAGATGCTTTATTAGTGATTGACTTGCTCGTTTTTATCGTTATCGGTAACCTAAGCAACCAATCGTTGCACAAAACGTTTGCGTGGCTCGTTATCGTGAACTGGACTCGTTTTCCTTATGGAATAGCGAGATCATGATGAAGTAGATTAGCGCCAGAAGTATCAAAAGGAACGAAGTTGCACACTTTGTATCTGTTGTGGCGGTTGCGCTTTTCGTCACACAACAAACTTCAATTTGTTTTTTCGATCCCCACGTGTAATAACCAAAAGCGCAAGAGCAGCCGGTAGAAAATAAGTGACTACTTGAAGAAACATCAAAGATGAGGTACCACGCTCTCTTCGACGAGATTTTCCAACGGAAGAACAGCTACTTCTCATGCGGAAACTGCACTACAGGTTCAGCTACAAGCAGTACATCCCCCCCGCTACATCACCACCCTCTTCACCATCACGGCACCAAGCTTATCCGGACCAACTTCGACGTGCTATCCGAAGACCAGGAGCACGCGAGACAGCTCAAAGTCGGCACCTCCTCCCTCTACGCGCAACTGCAGAAGATCGAGTCGCTGACAAAAGAATTGCTGACCAGCGGTCTCAGTAACCAGAAGAAAAAATCCCGGGGTTTTGGCAGGATCGCGCGGAGCAACGGGAGGAAATTGGGGATATGCCGGGAAAAAGTATCGTAGTCGCGTATTGACTGTCGCAAAATATTATATAATCGCATGAACAAGACTCAGTTCTTTTGACGTGAATTATCTGCATGATGAGCAACTCTACTATGTTTGTTTTTGGAACCAAAATTTGTCATGCCATTTTGCGAGTGCGGATGCGATCACGCTTTTGCAGTGCATAGGGCAAGGAGGTGCATAATTTGCAAGACATGCTGAAGGAAACGAAAGCAGAGTTGGAAACGGCAGAGGAAAAAGCCCGGGCCTTTTCGATGCTATGACCTTGCACAACTCTACTTCCACCACGTTTCTTGTCATGCAAAATCAATTCAAAATCTTGTAATTTTCTTTTTCCTTGAACAAGCACTTTTGCTTTTCGCATGACAAGTTTCGAGGAAACCCCAGCAAACTGAAGGGAGAAGCCGTGTCATGCGGATTTGTCATGCAGCTGCGGCAGATAGGTTTATCACGCCAGTTAATGCCCTTCAACGGCGGAGGAGAAGGGGTTGTGTACTCTCATACATGCACTTGAAGGAACAGATTAAAGCGGAGGAGGATGGTATTAGCGTTATTGTGATTTTGCTTCGTGGTTGTTTTCATCAGATAAAACCTGAATTAGTGTAGTAGGTCGAAATCATCATCATCATCATCATCATCATCATCATCTTCATACATCATTCCCTTGGCTAAATGGCCAAGAGCTGCGAGCTTTTCTTGGAATACTGCGCTCTTATGCAGCCTCCCGACGTGCATGTTTTCTATGGCTCTGTTTTTCTGGCCTGAAGAACCACACGACTCTTATGACCAGGCACTGGCAGCAAGCTTCCCCTATCCTGTGCAAAAGCGTACTTACCCACACGACCGTAATCACAGTGTGATTCCTGTGCAGAAGTCAATCGGTTTCCACTACAGTTCCGCATGGGAAACTCAGATCTGTAGTAGAGTGCGATGCTTGGCTAGTGCTCCCTCATCACGAATCATGTTAATCATCCTGATTTGAGCATGACAAATTTTTGCAACAAAGGAGTACCAGATGCGAGGTCTCATGGGAAGGCGCATTACACTTAGAGACCACCTGCAGAACCACAACATGCAAGATCTGCATGACAACTCTCGGTTGGGTACGTGTTTGCACATGATTTCTCCAAGCGGTTTATGACACGGGCTCCTCTGCATGGAAGCTGCTGGTGGAGGGAAAGCAGGATATCGGAAGGAAATGATGTTTCACTGTAAACTTGTAATGCAGAGAATGCATGATTCGCAGTCGCAGAAGTGTTTGGCTTGCTACACTTGCAAAACAATCGATTTGTTGGTTTTGCTTTCTGATGACAAATTTGTTCCTTTGTAGTGCTACTGCTAATGTACTGGAGCAAGTCTGTAATGCAAAACTCGCAAAATTAAATCGTTCCAGTGAAACACGTTTTTCGTACGATGCAGGACCTCCGGAAGCTGTTAGACGAGGGCATACCAAATTTGGAACGGCGGGTGGCACTCATCACGGTGAAATGATGGATAGTTGTTGTACATAATCTCGGACGTTATCGCTATGCCTCGCGCGTCAACTTGATGCGCCTGAGATTTTCAGACAAAAAAAACGGTCTTCACCTCCAAGACGCGTGTTTCTTGTTGAAAAGCTACTGATTTCTAGACGCGTGAAAATGCAGTTGAAATTATGCCAGAATTGCGACGTTGCGGCAGACATCACACTGTAGATGCTAGGACTCGCTGTTCGGCTTGGTTTTTTGGTTCGCAGGTGTTGTTGAGGTTTTATCTTTCTTGCGGTGTAGGTTTCTACATTCAGTCTTGTAAACTAAAACATCCTCGTCACAGGTAAAGATCATTCGTCTGAATTCTTCGTTTGTGTCCACAGAGAAGATCTCGACACCTGTAATAGTGTCTGCCTTGTACAACTTGTTCGTAGCTTTTCTTTGTTGTGTGTCCAAAAGAAAGTTCCTCTTTACGACGTTCTGGCTTGTTTCAGCAAAGTTCTTCCGTTTCTCAGATCTCGGTACAGCTAGCAGGTCATTTTTCTAGTGGAAGTTTTTTTCATTCTCATTCCGCTTTGGAGCTCCTGCTGCAAGGATGATTACGCTGCGAAATATAGAAAGTCCTCTTCTAGTTCTCTCGTCGTCTTCTACTTCTCTTAGAAAGTTTATTTCGAACAGAAAATAATCAATGTCTTCGTCTCCAGACTATGAACTGCGAAAGTATCGTACTCGTATAAATGCATTACAAATTTCCCCAGCATGAGAAATAAAATTTGTAATGCGGATTTACCTTAAGAAAAAAATTTGTAATGCATGACTGCAATTACTACGAGTGCGGTACTTTTGCACAGGATACAGCCAACTCCATTCCGTCTCGTTTGAGCCGTCCTTGTCCCTCGGACGTGCTTGCGCTTCCTCTTGTCGTTGCTTTTTTTTCAAGAAGTAGACCGCAATCCGACGAACTGTGGTCAGAAAAAAAACAGTTTCACCAAGACATCTTCTTAAATGAATGAACCAGTGCTGAAGTGCAATCCATAACCATATGATCATCAAACTCCTGTACACAAAGTTTGTTACCAAGGCGGTCTTGAAAAATGAATCGTAAGTACTTCTAAAGTAGCGCTGCTACTACGTCTACTACTGCGTTCTAGAAGTAGTTCTTACGGCAAGAGACGAACTACGACTTGCCCTTCTTTTCTTTTCCGGAATGAATACTTGTTTTTGGTTGTGCCAGAATTTTTTTTCAAAGTAAGGAACGCAAGCGGTGTCGGTGGGTAAAGAGATGGAGGGAGAACCACGGACACTCGACGAGATATAAGACGGAATGAAGAAGACATCAAGTAGGGGACACGCCAGCACATCTTGCACGAAGATGCGGCAACCACAAGAAGGCAGCTGCACACGACCAGAAGATCCTGGAGCCCGAGGGGCGGACGCGACCTGGAAAATGTTTCACAAACCGAGGAGAAGGAGAAAAATGAAGTTTTTAGGGAAACAAGTAATAGCCACCGGCTTCGCAGCACTCCTCGCAGCCGGAGGACGCGAGCACTTTTACAAGTCTGCTTTGGCGCAACAATCCCAGGCTGCTACTACAATGGTCACCGGCGAATCTCTTTTCGTGGAGCGGTGCGAGCAGGGGAGGATAGCTATGGAAATAGCGAAGTATTTGAAACGATTAAGCCCGTCCTTTTACGGTAGCTACCACGGCAGCGGAGGAAATAGTGGAACAACCACCACTGCTAGTATGGCTGCAGCTACCAGTTCCTCATCTGCTTCGTCCTCTAGCTCGACAAAATTTGAGACGGTGGAGCAGGTGAAGACGAGCTACGGCTTAGAATCCCTGACGAGTCAGCAGTTACTAGCGTTGCTGCTGACGGAAGATGAGTACTACATGCAGAATACGACCGCAGCTGGTGCTGACGGGAACACTTCTGACGCGGATCATCGAAACAGCAGCAGCACAAACGACACGAATTCCTCAAATCAGAGTGCTGCGCCAAATGGGAACAACGCCACAGGAACAACTACAGGCCAATCTGTAGCAGTCACCACCACCACCACTCCGTTGCCTTATGTAACGGAGAGCAATGTGAGAAGATCGAGCCTCATAATCGACACAGCATCTTCAACACAAGCGCAAACCACAGTGGTACCAAACCCGGAAGGGACTCTTGTCGTCTCGCAATTGAAACGGGCTTTTACCACCAACGAGGATTTGATTTGGGATTTGCTAGAACAGGAGAGTTATCAAATGCAAGAATGTCTGGGTCTGGAAGATTCCGAGACTTGTCATGCAGATTTTCGATGATCCATGTCGTCTGGAATGCAGGACCTAGCATGACAGACTCGGTGAGATCCCTATCATGCCTAATCTGCATAAGAAACTTCCTCTCAACTTGGTCAAAAGTGGACAACTTTTGGCATTCATGCAACACAGATTTTTGCACGATCCACAATTAGCAATGCCACTACCTCGACCCCTCAAGAAAAGAAGTAGCCCCCCCAACTACAAACTCGCCGGCCGCGATCAGGATACGATGCGTACTAACCAACATTGTGCGAACCGAGATCCCGCGGGGCACAGGGTCTGGGCGGCTCGAAGCAGAACGTGCAGCACAAGCGGGAGACAACACATCCAAAGGTGGGGATGGTCTCAGGTCGTTCAGGTCCGCCAAGGGTTGCGTCTCGCTGGCTATCAGGGTTTCGCCAACTCCGTGGGGGCGTTGCGGGTATCTCCCTAAAACACCAAAACCGGCACAAATTGGGCCGGCAGTCCGGGTAATTGCTCACCGAACGGTTTGTATGGCGAATAAGGTGCTCGACGAAGGAAGAAGTAAGCATGTACTTAGCACCTCCGGTTGGTAGAGCAATCGGCTACCGAGGCACGTCAGGGGGCGTCGCTACTTCAATTCAATTCAATCCACAATTAGCAATACAAATTGCATCCTTCCAGACCCAGACATTTTTGCAATTGATAAGAGTGTGAAAGACGTTCTTTCTGGCACCAACGCGAATTCCATTTACCAGAACTGTTTTCAACAGAACACGAGTGCGAGTGAAATCAGTTTTTCTTTCGCCTTCTATGACTGGTTGAAGGCGGAAATTTCCGGTCTCGGGGAACAGATATATGCACAGGCAGCGACAGGAGGGTCCTCTGCAAGCAATGCTTCACAGGCGATCGCGTATGACGACGACAGTGCAGTTGCTGTTGGTAATGAAAGCAATACGTCGAACTACAACTACTCAGCATCGGATAGTACCACGACGAACGAAACCAATGCAAGCAACGGCTCGACGTCTTGGAATTATAACACCACGTCCTCCACCGAGGATGATAGCAGCTCTGGAATATTAGGTTCGAATACGACGTCGTCAGCAGCGAATGACTCCAACAGCACGGGAAGCGCCAGTGGCGAATCGGATTCATCACCAGCAACATCACAGGGTGCAGTGGTAACCACAACGACGACTCCACCGCCCCACCCATTAGCGAGAGTTTTTGAAGATAGTGCAACAGGTTTGCGGATTTCGTTTACTTTGCCAAGCAGATCTGCAGGCTTTTTCGAGCCTCTCACGTGCCCGAGAATCGTCCAGGCGGTGAGAGATTGTCACGATAACGAACTTTGGCTGCCGCTGGATCCGAGGCTGGATGTAGTAGTTGCAGGTAGTGCAGCAGCACAAGTGGCGAACGATAGCAACAGTTCAAATACAACGACCGAGTACGACGATGCTGCGGTTTCCTCCTCCGACATGGGAATGAATGTAACGAATTCATCATCCTCTGTGGTAAATGGAACCTCCAATGAGACAGATTTTTCTAATGTGACAAACAGCACTGCAGCTGGGTCCGTATCAGATGACGAAAGTGACGTAAACGCAACTGGGAACAACACTTTGAGTGCGACTTCGAATAGCACGACAATAGGCGCCACGGTCGCGGTAGGAGGAGCAACATCGTCAAGGAACCCATTCTGGCTGTTCCGGGACGTAGTGGCTGCGTCAGCAGCTACTGTTACTGCGACCACCGGCGCTCCACAGCAGCCAGTCGTTGATATTTCCGCGGAAGCAACCGCTTTAGATTCCTACAACGCCGGAACTACACGAGGAACAACAGCTACCTCTTCAAACACAACGCAAACTTCTACCCAGACCACAGCACAAAAATCCACTTCCTGCAATGCGATTCTGGAGGGGAAACTCCTACTCGAAGCCAACTCGGAGCAAACCGCAGACATGCTTCTTCAGAACGAAGATTTGCTCGCCCACTTCTTCGCGAAAGCGATGGGGAATGCGTTCAACGCGTTCGCTGGGAGTTATCTGGACGATTTTTTGAAGTCGTACAGGGAAAACAGCAAGATAAATACAACGTCTTCCTTTTATCAGCGCATGTACGACTTTGCCAAAACCGATTTCTCCGTTCTACTAAACAACCAGGTTAAATTCGAGAAATTTGTCCGGCTGGAGGTGGTGACGACGAGAAAAACCTTCACGAATTACACCAGGGATTACTTCAGCTTCGCGAGGATACCGCCGCCACAAGCAGCTTCGGAAGAAGAAGATGTGGTGCCCGTCAACACGACAAATTCGACCAACGAGACCACAGAATATTTCGAGTCTGATATCCTGAGTAAAAACGTACCCACACCAGAGTCAGGAAGGGGATGTTGCAACACAAACCTAGGAGTTTTGTGAGTCACGCATGACAAGTTGAGGTCTGCAGTGTAGTGCAGGTTAGCAAGTGCAGCCGCATTACAGATTCATCGGCTCATCCTGTTCACAGCATCACAAATTCCAAAACAGGATTGGAAATGGCTCTCATGGTGATGCGCATTACAAGTCTCTCTGTCTTTGCAAATCTGCATTACAACTCTGGCGTGGGTGCGTTCTTACTTAGGATATCTGAAAATGTCACGAATTTCACGAATGTGACCGTGAATGAAACCGAATTCAACGTATCAAAAGGAAAAATCCCCCCACCCCATATCGAAATGGAAATCTGTGATGCGGGGTTTGTGTACACAAATCGGCTTTGTATTGCAGGAAGGCATCGCGGCCAGATCCCCAGGCTATGCAGGGGCGTATCGGTCTAGTTGTTCAGCATGGCAAACGGCTCCGCTTTAGGCCCAACAGCATGACAAATCGCCTCCATAATTGGGGCGAAGCTTTTGCCCTTGTCTTCTTGCAAGA